GCATGATAATGTTGCTGCATGATCTGCTGGTGAAGTCAACTGTTTGCTAACACATTTGCTATCACCTTAAAAAGGAATTATATGTCAGGGGACAATAAGGGGAAAGATATTGCTATGCCATTTTTATCTATCTCTGTCTATTTCTCAGAACAAGCAGCAAAGAGTTATTTCAGTTATTTCAGAATGAAGAGCTCAGTGTGTTTACAGCATGCAATGACAATCTGAATTTAAATTTGAACTGTTTCACCTCATCAGACTACATAAAAATATCAACCCAACCCAAAACACAACATCTACTGCAGAAGTCATTCTTCAACAAAAAAGTAGGCTAGCTTCATCTCAGCGCATTAAAATATTATTTGTTGTATGGACAATTGTTTGAATGCTTTTTTTTTCTTACTACTGCCTATCTCTGGCCACTTCAGTTTAATACTCTCATTTAAGCTTGAACCTCATAGAGCTTAAAATCAGTTGTTAGATGTAGTTACAGGTGGACCCAGGTGCAGACAAAGACTCAGGTTGCAGGGAGGAAGTTCACAGGTTTTATTCTCAAAAAATCAACAAGAATTCGAAAATAAGGGACGCCTGCCGCAGAAGGAGCCACACCCCTCGGGGCCCGGCAACCATAGGCCAGATGGTGTGCAAGTGGTGGTGTATCATAACTTACAACATGTTTTCAGAAAAGTAAGAGTGATACCAATGGACATTATAATAAGCTATCTGCTATTGAAATCAGTGTGACCCGATGCACTCTCTCCATCACAACTCAACAGACTAGTGGTCATTTTGTCATAGCTGAATACACAGCTAAATCAACATGTCCATAACTTACAACTATAAATAGGCTAAAACAAATGCTTTGATTCGATTTGATTGAAAAGTCTTTTGCAAAGGATTTTTCATGATCATCATCAGTGGACCAGAAATAGTGCCTTGTGTGCAGCATTGGAGCATGTTAGGCCTACTTCCTTTTATAAGCATTTTCGTGTCAGACATACTACTCGTGCAGCACTGTCTTTCAAACAGCTACAGTAAAACTATGAACAGGACTGCTCAAAGTTGAAAATGATCAAGAGCTCATCCCAATGTAAGAGGACACAATTTTCTGCCATAACAATAAATAATCTATCTACAAACATTTCTAAATTTAATTTAACACCATTTTATGATTGGTCAGTAAATATATTTATGTATTTATTTTATCACTTTTTATTTAGCCTATTGTTATTTTATAATACTGAAGGATGCAGTTCTATAAGTTTGCATTAAATAGCCTATATTTCTCATTAAATTAAGGCTTATGTGTCTGACTGTATACCTCAATCTTAAAAAACAAATCATACCATAATGTAGTATTGATTCAAAACGGGACGCCCTATTTAGTTCTCAAATACCGGACGATTCTGTATTTCAAGGGACGGGTGGCAACCCTACTTGGGAATGACCTTTGAGCAGTGGCGTAAGTTAATAACAATGGGCCCCAGTGCAGGCTGTCATGATGGGCCCTTGGGCTACACCGTTACAAAGCACACATGCATATACACTGCGTTCATGTTTAGAAGGGAACCCTATATTGGCAAATTTATGTGGCTTGTGTCCTTGTTTTGCCACGTATTAACAACTGATAAGATTAGATGCAGTAAATACATAATTTAAAGCTCCTTAAATCAATTTATTTCCATGTTAAATTCAATAGTTCTCTTTGTGTGCGTCTCTCCAACACACATGTTGCTGTTGTGGCTGTGCTGCGTGCGCCTGGCAGTCTAAAGTACCATCATATGATGGATTTTACAGTCTGACTGTGTCACCTAGACTTTTGTATTTGCAAAGTACAGAAGTCAAAGAAAAACTTATAAGGGGCATGGCCAGTGTTGTAATTGTCAAAATCCTGAAACGTCACCACACACAGCTGAGTGCAGGAGGACTCCACTGTGCTGAAATGACGCAGACTTTTTCAGGCAATTTCTGTACAATAACCACCCGAATCACGACAATCACATTCCTCTTCGACTGAGAGGCAAGACATTATGGTGAATAACAAAGAAAAGTGGCCTACTCATAACACAACACCATGTTCTGAAAACAGGCCAGCTAAGGTGCACACACAGTTTAATACCCACAAGCACATCCACACAATTAAATAGGTAGGCCTACTCAGCGGCGAGCTGACCCCAAAATTATAACAGCCTTTAAAACAGCAGCACGGCAGCCTCACCAACTCCACTGAAAAAGCACTTGAAAAGTTAATCAGCTATCTGAAAGCCATCCAACGAGTGTGCACTGAGCGAAATCTTTGACAATGTCCTCAGTAATCCAAAACAATCATTTTTGGGAGCTTTGTGACCCTCTCCCCCTGTTCTTTTCTCCCCTGTCTCTTCTTAAAACTACTTTTCTGTGCGAATAGCATGAATGCTAGCTTGCACGTGTGCTCTGCTAGTCACTGGTGAGATTTTGCATTTCACCCAATTTCTGGAGTCTTGTCGTCTTGTCACATGATCAGATAGAAACTTAAGATTGGGCATTGGGCATTCATTTTCATTTGCCCAGCAATCATCACTGCATTTGTCAGCTATGTGACACGAATACAAAGAAAATAAGACTAAATTCATTCTGTTGAATCTGTGGAATCAATATTTTTTGTATTTTACTGTATACCTTATGGCCTAATGCTTTCTTCAGTAGTCTTACCCACAAAAAGTCTGTGGACACAAAGGGGGAAATGCACATATGAGTGTATATACAGCACTTGATCAATGACATTACAGTTTGAGGTGAAATGTGGGTTAACTATTGATTAATGGGACTCTAAGCATTTTTACCTTGTAACTGACAAAGACCATAAGGGAAGGGGCCTCTCCCGTCTGTACTGTCTATACCGACACCCTTTTACACTATGTATGCATATAAATATTTATATATATTGATTTATATTTACTTTAAATGTTACCATATTTGAATACAGTTAATCATAGCAGATGTTAAGTTCTATGTGTGTGGCATGAAAGGGCTACAAATTTTCATTTTGTACCTTGTGATGTATAATGATAAATAAGCTTGAGCTCAAGCTTGAAAAAGAATAGCCTAAATCAGGGGTTTTCAAAGTCTGAGCCTCTCCTCAGACAAAGCTTGGGAATTGCCCCCACCCCCATCTTTAATTTACTTGGTAAATTTCATTCAATTCCAGAAAGTCAATGAGATCATGCTGGAGCCAATCCCAGCTGACACAGGTCACCAGTCCATCGCAGGGCCACACATAGACGAACAACCACTCACGCTCACACCTAAGGACAATTTAGAGTCACCAATCAACCTAGCCTGTCTTGCATGTCTTTGGATAGTGGGGGGAAGCCGGAGCAATCAGAGAGAACATGCAAACTGCACACAGAAAGGCCGGGGAAACCGGGGGGCGACAGTGCTAACCACTGCTCCACCATGCTGCCCTGACTACAACAAATAGTTTTAAAAAATGTCTGTCTTAAGCCATTATTAGTTTCTAACTCTGACGGGGGGGAAACTGTTCCCCAAAACTACTGTATCTCTGAACTCTCACACATGTAGGCTATTCTATGTGATCTCCTTTTGATAACAAATGCAATAAGTAATGTAATATTGTTTCATTTCCATTCACTGAGCTTCCCCTGAAACTGTTTGGAGCCCCCCTAGGGAGACCCGCCTCACACTTTGAAAACCCCTGGCCTAAATTAAATAATTTGACTACTGCATATCACCACAACCTTTAAAAATAATAGTAAGTTGGTTCAACTTAACTAAACTTTCAGAAATCAAAGCAAATCATGTTGGTTGTATTAAACTAATAGGGTTAATCTGACTGTAGAAGGATTACTTAATAATGCCAGAGTTGGAAAAGAGATGCAAGCAAATTGACACTTTAATTTTCTTAAATTGAGCCAGCGTATCATTTTCTAGAGTGACATGTGGAAAAGAAGAGACTAGAGGTATACACTCCACCCAGCACCCCTGCCCTGGCCTGTACCTGCTGGAAACAAATCAACAATTTCTCTCCTGTATTGTATCCCATATTTGATGTACCCCTTTTCATTTTGTATTTCCTGAAAAGCTACTCACTTCACCTGTCATGTTTGTGTTCAGAGTCAAAGGAACACAGGCTGCTCTGTCCAGTCGTTAACATTTCATCCATAAGCTATGTTGTCAGAAGCCCTTTCAAACCTGTGAAAATAACATGGGAACATTGCTGTATTGAAAACGTAAAGATTAATGTAAATTGGGCCGATTTTCATCAAAAAAGAATAATGCTCACCAAGTCAACCCAGTGCAACTGTTAGCTACCCAATCATAGAGATGACACATACATGGAGCAGGTGGAGCATACAATACCAGTGTGATCCTTTAACATTTTCAAGATTGAAGAATAGAAAAGATTCAAGGGCATTTCAAAGGAGACAGTTTGATGAATATGCAAGTAACATTTGTGCCTCTGCTCATGCCTCACTGGAGGTTGTTTGTTTTGCTGAATATTGAGCTGTATACTATGCACAATAGTCACATTATCCTTATTGAGTAGCTATATTCTCTGGCTGCTTGGCTCTGCTCCATTTATACCAGCAATCTCCTGCCGGCACGTCTTCTTTGCTGGCCTTCTGTGCTATTGTGTGCTGCTCTTTAAAGCTGTTTCTTACAGCAGGGATGTGAACTCAAACGCAGTCACAGCAGGCAAGACAAAGGTTATGGCTGGTACAACTCTATACTGCTTTAAGCAAGCACAAAGTTTGGTAACTGGTAGATAAAGTAGATTAAATAAAATGAAACTGTTATGTTTAGGCCTTGCCTCCTCCTATTTCCTAGTGTTCTCCCTGTGGTTTCCTCCCCTGCTGTCTGTGTGTGTTCATGGGCGTGTCCGATCCTGGCTCCTCTTCACCGGCATAGTCTCACACCTGCGGCTCATCCAGTAATCACCACCTGCTGTCAAATACCCTGGTTCAGCCTCCACTCTTCGCTAGGATTTCCGCTTGGCTACTGGTGGAGTGACGCGACACGCGACAGTGGATTCCGGAAAAACGAGTACTGTGGTCTGTCTGAATTTTGCACTGGGTGGAGAACGAAGTGCGAGTTTGTTGGTTGGTGAGTCGATTAAGAGGTGGTGTGGGATAGCATCGGCCGACGGCCTGTATAGGTCCGGTAGCGGTGCTATTTCACAGCTTCTGGTTGCTCATTAAACCAATAATCTGGATAGTAAGTACATTTATTTGTCCCTGTAAGGAAATTTGTTTGCATGGCAATCAAGTAGGCATTACAAACATACATCATACAACATACATCATACATATACACCAAAAGAGAACCTTTAAATATACAAAGTCACATACTAATACACTTAACACATATTTCCCCATACCCTGCACTTTTGACTACCTATTTGATTAGGCAATACCAGACCAGCTGAGTATCCTACCTATTAACTTACATATTTAAAAGCTTAATTGCGTGAGGCACAAATGAAAACTTTGATCTATTTTTGGTAAATAGAGGGAGGCAATATTGTCGCCCAGAAGGCAGTAGTTCGAATGAAGAGGCAAGGGGGTGCCTCTTGTCTCCCACAATGGTTTTTGCCATTGGTTGGATGACTTTTTGCGTAGGGATGGCAGGGAGACAGGTGGATGGTATGGATTACAGTGAGGCAGAGGGAAATGGTAGTGATGAGAGGAGGGAAAGTGATTGGGAGGAAGTAGGGAGAATGCATAGGGATAAGAAGGAGGCTAGTCGTAAAAGAAAGAAAAAAGGTTGTGATAGTTCAAATGGGACAGAAAGTGAAGAAGATGAAGGGAAGGAACCTAAAATAAGATTGCTTAATGTAGTGGTACGATTTGAGGGAGAAGGAGGAGTAAAAAAAATGGATCCACTTAAGTTAACTAAAATAATAAGACAAAGGTAGGAGAAGTGAAGTATGCAAGAATTTTGGGAGATGGAAATCTACTGGTAGGATGTAATAATGAAGTACAGATGGAAAAAGCAAAGAAGATGAGTTGTGTTGGAAAAATAAAAATAGTAAAAGTAGTAAGAGTGGGGGAGAAAATAAATGGCGGAAGTAAGGGAATGATATATGGAATTCCACTTACTGTAAATATGAAAGAGTTGGTGGAGAACTTGAGAATGAAGAATAGGTCAGTTAAAATTGCAATAAGAATGACACGGGGAGTGGAGAAAGTAGAAACAGAATCTGTATTGGTTGAGTTTGAAACAAAGGAGGTACCAAAAGAGGTATATTATGGATTTATGAGATACAGCATAAGAGAGTATGTACCTAAGCCAATGAGATGTTATAATTGCCAGGAATTTGGACATATGGCTAATGTATGTAAAGGAAAGAGGAGGTGTGCTAGGTGTAGTGGTGATCATGAATATGGAAAGTGTGGGTAAGAAGTAAGACCAAAGTGTTGTAACTGTGGAGAGAATCATAGTGTGACATTTTGGGGATGCGAAGTGATGAAAAAAGAAGTTACAAAGTACAATAGATAAAATTAAAAGAAAACATTTCTTATGCTGAGGCTGTTAAGAGAACAGAGCAGGAAAAGAAGAATCAGAGTGGAGAAAGTACAAAAAGGGTGAGCAGGGAAGATCACCAAGAAAAGAAGGAAAAATGGGAAGAGAAGAAGAAAATAGTGACATTCATAGCAGGGGTGATAAATGCTACAGCTGAAGTCAGGTCTGAAACTGAAAGAATCCAGGTTATTGTTAAAGCAGCAATACACCACTTAGATATGGCAGGATTAAAGTGGGAAGAAGTGAGGGATGAACTCAGTGTACAGTCGAGTCAAGAGACAACATGTATAGGTTAATAATTTTGTAATGCTAATCCTTCAATGGAATGCAAGAAGCTTGATCGCAAATGGTCAGGATTTCAAGCAGTTTATAAGGAGTAGAAGAGAAAAGCCAGATGTTATATGCATTCAGGAATCCTGGTTAAAGCCTAATTTGGACTTTATAATATATGGATATGTATCAGTTAGACAAGATAGGGAAAATGGTGGTGGAGGGGGATGTATAACATTTATAAGACAAGGGATTCCGCATAGGGTGTTAGGTATAGGAAAGGAGCAAGAATATATAGTGGTAGAAACATGGGGTGAAAGGAAAAGAATTGTAGTTATAAATTATTACAATCCATGTAGAAAATTAGATCTTGAGGAAATAGAGGGGCAAGGCAATAATAATATTGTATGGTGTGGGGATTTCAATGCGCATAATACATTGTGGGGTAGTGAGAAGATGGATAGTAATGGACAAGTAATTGAAGAGTTATTGGATGAGGAAAACTTAGTATGTTTAAATGATGGAAGTAAAACAAGGATAGAGGTTAGTACGGGGAAGGAATCTGTACTTGACCTTACACTGGTGTCTAGTAGTATGGCAGCGATAAGTAATTGGAGTGTATATAAGGATGGGACAATAGGAAGTGATCATTATCCAGTATTATGTAAAATTAATATTTCATTGTCTCAAAGTATAGAAGAAAGAGGAGCAAGATGGGTATTTGAGAAGGCTAATTGGGAACATCTTCAGAGAGAAAGTGATAGATGTTTGAGCCAGATTGAGTATAATGATGATATAGAGACACTGAAAAATAAAATAAAGAAAGGTATAATAACAGCGGCAATGGAGTCTATTCCAAAAAGTAAAAGTAAGGTAAAGAGGAAAATCGTACCATGGTGGGATGAGGAATGTAAAGAAGCAGTCAGAAATAGGAACAAAGCATTTAAAATAATGAAAATAACTCATAACTTCAGGCACATGATTCAATATGAATATGCTCAGGCAATAGTAAGGAAAACAATTAGGCAGGCAAAAAGAACATATTGGAGGAACTATTGTAGCTCAATTGGGAATACAACTCAGATTGGAGAGATGTGGACAATGATTAAAAAGATGGGTGGTGAAAGGAGAGAATGGAGTTATCCAGTTTTGAGTAGTGGAAATGAAATTGCAGTGACAAATAAGGAAAAGGCTGAAATGTTAGCAAATACATTTGTCAATGTGCATAGCTCTAATAACTTATCTGAACAAGGGAAGAGAGGCAGAGAGAAGACTAAATCTGAAAATGTAGAGGTATTTATGAAGATGGGGAAAGTGGAGGATGAACAAAATGTACTATTTAACATGGGAGAATTAAAGAGAGCAATGGCCAAAACTGGGAAGACTGCACCAGGAAAAGATGACATTTGTTATAGCATGTTGAAACAGTTAAGTGAGGAGGGGAAGAATAAGTTGTTGATGCTGTACAATAAAGTGTGGGAGGAAGGGAAACTTCCAAAGAGCTGGAAGGAGGCAATTATTGTGCTGATAAGGAAACCTGGGAAAGAAGCTAGTAAACCTACAAGTTATAGACCTATTGCTCTGACATCTTATGTCTGTAAATTAATGGAAAGAATGATAAATGAGAGGTTAATGTATATTATGGAAAAAAGAGGTATGGTGGCTGAATGTCAAAGTGGGTTTAGAAGAGGTAGGAATACTATGGATGCAGTATTGTGTTTGGAAGATAACATAAGAAAAGCACAAGTAAATAAAGAGACAGCAGTGGCAGTATTTTTCGATGTAGAAAAGGCATATGATATGCTATGGAGAGAGGGACTAATGATTAAATTGTATAATATGGGAATTAGAGGAAATTTTCTTAACTGGATCAAGGATTTCCTGGAAGGAAGAACAATTCAGGTTAAAATAGGGGCAGACCTATCAAGTGAACATGTTTATAGAAAACGGAACTCCTCAGGGGAGTGTTGTAAGTCCCACATTATTTTCAGTAATGATTAATGATATATATGTGAATATACCAATAGGTATGGGAAGATCACTTTTTGCGGATGATGGGGCAATATGGAAAAAAGGAAGATATATAGAACATGTAGTTAAAAAAATACAAGAAGGGATACAGCATGTTGAGAAGTGGGGAATAAAGTGGGGTGTAAAATTTTCTATAGAGAAAACTAAAGTAATGTTTTTCACAGGGAAGAAAATCAAGGAAAATATTAATATAAAACTATATGGAAGTAACTTGGAGAGAGTTAAAGCATTCTGTTTTTTAGGAGTATACTTTGACACAAGGTTAACATGGGTAGAACATATTAGAAATGTAGAAGACAAATGTAAAAAAGTAATAAATTTAATGAGATGTTTAACAGGACTAGAATGGGGAACAGATTATAAATCACTGAAATATATACAGTATATGTAAGTCTAATAAGATCAAGGATGGATTATGGAAGTGTGGCATATGGATCAGCAGCCAAATCTGTAGTTAGGAGGCTTGATGTAATACAGGCTAAAGCACTGAGATTATGTCTAGGGGCAGTTAAAACATCACCAGTGTGTGCTCTACAGGTGGAAGCAGGAGAAATGCCATTGAACATCCGATGTAAACAATTGCTTGTAAATTATTGGGTAAATCTAAAAGGGCATGGAGATAGTCATCCAACTAAAATAATATTAAAAGATAATTGGGAAAGGGAGAGAGCACAAAAGTTCAGTTTTGGGTGGGTCGGAGATGAGGCGGCTAGAGAATTGGGAGTGTATGAAAAGGAATTCTGCCCAACTATAATATGGCCTGATACACCAGTATGGAAGCTAGAAACCATGGAAGTTGATTTTAAATTACTTTGAGTTAAAACAGTAAGTAATAGTACAGATCTGGTAGCGGAATTTTATAGACATATAGATTTTAAATATAAAGAGTATATTCAGATTTATACAGACGGATCAAAGGATCCAGAAACAGGAAAGACTGGATCTGCAGTTTACATTTTCAACCAAAGAGGTGAGATAAGCAGACGAACCACAAATGATCTGAGTGTGTATGCAGTTGAATTATATGCTATGCTATGCAGTGTCAGCTTTATACAGTCACATGACTGGTATATCTAATAGTCATCAGGATTTACTGTATTCAATATTGATAATATACACAAGAATAAGGGAAAAATGCTATGAGATTCAATTGACTTGGATTCCTGCTCATATTGGCATTGTGGGTAATGAGAGAGTGGACAAGTTAGCCAAACAAGCTGTTAAAAAAGAGAGTATTGAAGAAAATATTAAGTTGTCAAAGTCTGAAGGAAAGAGTATAATATGGAAAGAAGCCATTAGAGAATGGCAACATCAGTAGGATATGGAAACTAAAGGGAGACATTTATATGCTATACAAAGTAAAGTTGGGGCGGTGAAGAATACGGGAGGGAATAGAAAAGAAGAAATAGTTATGACCAGATTAAGGATAGGTCACAGTAATTTGAATAGCACATTACACATTATAGGGAAGCACCCAACTGGTTTTTGTGGTTGTGGTCAGGTTGCAGAAACTATAGAGCATGTGTTTTTGAGTTGCAGACAATATGAAGAACAGAGGAAAATATGATGGAAGAGTTAGGAATAGTTGGAACAATAGGGACAGGAATGAAGGAAATACTGGAAAGTGGGTAGAATGAACAAAGCAGAGGAAATATTTTCTTATTTTTATCAAGAATAGGTATGATGAGAAGAATATGATGTAACTGGACATGACAGGAAATAAAGCCGGAAGATGGCGGTAGTGCAACGATAATGGATGCAAGCTGCCGATAAACTCTAAAGAAGAAGAAGAAGAACACTCTTCGCTAGTTCACCACCTGTGGTGCAATTGCTCTGGCCAAATGCTTTTGCCTCTCTGTATTTTTGAGTGTTGCTTTTGTGAATCTCTCCTAACGTCCTGTTTCCCTTGTCCACCTCAGTACCATCCGAGCCTGAGACGCTGCCCGCCTGTCTACCTGAACTCTGCCTGACAGCCAGCCAAGCCACTCCGCCCTGAACTGAACTAGGACGCCACTACCTCTGCCTGGAAGTCTGAACTGGACTAAGGAACGCCATTACCTAGTCCCACCCTGCCTGGAAAGCCTCGCTTTCCCAAGTCATTCATTCCCTTTCCTACACGGGGATTAATAAATCGGATCGTGTGTCTTACATCTAACTTGTGTCCGCCTCTGAATCCTCCAGTGAAAACATAACGGAAACCATAGTGGTCAGCATGGCAAACTGAGTGCTGGTTAAAAACAAAATGAAGCAAACTAGTAAGGTTCAGAAACTGCAAGACAACCAATGTAGCACAGACCATTTTTCAAACACGGAGAAAAAAAATGACACAGTATATGGCAATATACTCCGCTCAGACAGTTTGTCAACATAAGAACAACTGCATATCAGTTCATAAGAAGTGCAGCAAGAGGGGATTTCATTATCCCACTGAGAAAAATGTTTAGTCAATCTGCAGCCTCTGTTAGTTACACTAAAGTGGAACCCAATGACATCAACTATTAAAGGACTGGACACAGTTTATTGCTTTGTTACTTACTCACTTACAAGTCTTTTATTGTGGCTTTGCTTTTATTGTGTCAGAGCAATATATGTATTTAATATGTGACTTTCATGTCTGTGCTTCTGCTTTGTATGTTTCAGTTAGTGTAGGGTAATGCAGCACAATGTTGTCTATGTCCATGTTTCTATTAAATATGTCCCTTTTTTTTTTTTTTGCTTTGTGTGTCTTGTCTGTTAAATAGTACCTGGACGTCTTGAAATGGTGTCCTAAGTGATGTTTTTTAGTAACATTAATATTGTCTTTTTATTCTTTTTTATTGTTTTGCATGCTTATAAATGATCTCAATAACTTTGTTATTTTAATCTTATATTCTCTTTTTAGAGTGACTTTTCATCCGTCAGTAGGCAACTGATGAAAAATAGCCTCTTTTTTGTGCATGTAACAGGTTCGCAAAGTGAAAAAGCCCAAAGTCCAGCCCAAAGGGAGTTCCCATCTCCCACAGAAAGCTCTGCTCTGAACCGCTTGAAAACAGCTCGTTTGTAGTCCAGCCTTTCACTTCCTTTACTTGTAACGTCACAATGAAAACGCGTCATAAAGCTTGCCAAGCAGCTAGCGGGGTCAGGCACGCCCTCAAACCAAGCTAGTCTGAGCAGAGGCCCTTTGGCTCCACTCGCCTAGATTTGGGTTTCCATTGTAGAAATGTTGTACCTGTACCTGCTTCCAGGTACTTTTTTTCGTATCACCTCTGCGGTGGCTGCGGGGGAAGCCTGCGCCAACCCGCGGGAGGAGCGTGTGAGGCCAGCCACCCGCTCACAGAGTCCTCTGCTCCCGCCATCACACAGACCGCTGCAGCAACAACGGCAGAGGAAAACACAGCTGGAAGGTTTTCATACCGCTTATCTGTCTTTACATTCTGGGTAATATTGAAACGTTTTAACCATAGACCGTATATATTTTAAGAGCTGTGTGGATCGCTGGTGTGTGTGTCGCATTGAACATTACGTCGCAGCAGTTGTGTGTGGCGTCGCTATCTCTGGGTACTATCCATAGACAGTATATTACTGGACAAAGCCACTCCGCTGATTTGAATGGAGAGTAGTGAAGCCAGTTTTGGACCAATAAAATACTACTACAGGGCTACTACCTGTTGGCACCAGCGTCTACTGCGGCAAAAACACCGTAATTCTGGTAGCTGCACCAACAAAAAGTTTCATGTGTTTGTCTGACTCGGATCATCGCTGATTAATCAGCCCACTTACGAGGCTCACCTGTGAAACACCAACGCAGCGTCACTGATGGCCGAATAGTTTTTTTTAGATTGCTGAGAGTTTATAATCTAAGCAATACAGTTACATCTCTCATGTGCGAGGGGGTGTCACAGGGTTTTGACGTCATTTTTGGGCCTACATGGAACCCTCCATGCAGGCTTTGGTCGGCTTCACTGTCCGATCTCTGGCTGACCCCCTTGGTACTATCTGCAATGGAAAACGGAGCAGGGCCGAGTAGAGTCGAGTCTTTCGATTTGCGTTATTGAAGCATTTTTCAGCAAGGCAGCATAGATCATCAGAACACTGGCAACAGTTCAACGTTCAGTCCTAATGGTAAGATGTGGAACAATGATGTTGTGTGGTTGTGGACTGGTAATAACTTACACCATCTGCTAGGTTACGGTCGCAGTCTGAAGCGGCTTTGATTTGGATCACACTACCTTGTTACTTACGACCCACCCTTCTCTGCTTCTGATTGGCTAGTAGTCCTTACCTGGGAACTGCAGCATGTGCAATTCCCAACAAAGATTTTGTACAAGTAAGATGCATCACTCTGTAGCTCAAGAGCGGCGCGTACAACACATAGGGTGAAAAGAGGAGCTGCAGCAATGTGCAGTATGAGAAAAATATGGTGTTTTTTGAAAATTAAACCATGTAAACCTGTTCTGGTACAAGCCCTAATTAAAATTTTGAACCTGAAAATGAGCATAATACTACCTCTTTAAATCAAGACTATATTTTGTTTAGTATCTATACTATTGTAGATAAAATTGTATGACTTATATCAGATTAAAATGTAGTTTCTAACGCAACATGTGATGCATTTTACCTCTGCTAATTTCAAACCACTATGCTAATACAGCTAGCTAAACAATGGCTGACAGGGGTGGGGTGGCTTATTTAAAAAGTGTTACAACCATCCTATACATACAACTAGCAACTCTCTTGATTTTAATATTTTACAGAGTGCCCTATGCAGTCTCCGAGCTCACTTAGCCTGCACTCCAGGGTTGCCAGCATTCATTTGTCAGCACTGAGACCAGTACTCCCCATTCACATGTTGTTCAAATGTATGTGGTCCCCAATCGTTTCCCTACTCAGTCTCCGTCGGTAGAGAAGGCAGTGCGTGCCAAAAAATTCCCAGTACGCCAAAGACTAAATGTAAAAGTGCCATTATTGCGTACCGATTAGTACTAGCCCACTTAATAAGCACACATTAGCACGACTTCTGGCTGTGAGTGTGAATGCTGGCGCGGTTAGCTGCCGGTACTCTCCCCCTTTTACTGTTTTTTAGTCAATTTTATTTGTTGTTGATTTTTTTACTGATGCACTCTGGCCTGATCTCAAGCTGTTTTAACTGACTCTTGAAAAGTTGTAACCTGATCTGGCCACATATGATTTGATTATCCGGTGTTGTTGTTTGGACTAGCTTACCTGCAACATTACCACCGGGGCTTCCGCTCCCCACTTTGCTGCTTTGTCTGCTTGCCGTCTGCTGGAGCTGTATTGCCCAGTCTCTTCAATCACTTTCTGACAAGTGAAATGGCCTACTGCATTTTACTGGCCATTTAAAGATATTTTAAGAGGCAAAAAGTACTTGGTGAGCTATAATCTGTCAAATATAACTCTTCTGAATGAAATCAATTAATTTCAGGGCAGAATTAACCTTTCAGTCAGTAACAAAAGGCTTCAATCATTTTCTGGCAAGTGAAATACTGCATTTTATGAGTTGTATTGGACATTTAAAGGTATTTTAACAGGTAAAAAATACTGGATTGGTTAGAGCTGGGTATCGTTCAAAGATTTTCGATATCGATACCGATACCTTGACTTCAATACCGCTTCCTGAACGATACTTTTTTCGATACCAATTATTATTTTATTTATTAACAAACGGAAAACCATTGTTGTTTGTATAAAGTAACTTAATTATCACATTATTATCATTAATAGTTTATTTTAATGATTGTTCCTTTAAAAAATGCTACTTTTTGTCAAAACCAAGACATAATTTCAATGTAACATAGGCCTATATTGTGTTTTTGTTTTTATTCCTTTTTCTTTAGTTTTTATAATGTCATTTCATTGTTTATTAATTGTATCGCGAAAATGCTACCATAGACACAAAAATAGATCAGACGGAAAGCGCTTTGCGGGTCAGTGAGAAGCCGGTAAACAGCTTCGGTTCAGCTGTACATGTTGCCGACCAGCTTGGCAACATAGATTGGAGCAAGAGTTTCACAGTGGTGAGTTATTAATCTGTAACAAATGTATCTTTCATCCATAAATCACTTTAACAACTTTATGTCCATTGACTTCCTGGAGGGTAACTAGTGTTTGAAAGGGAGGGAGGTGTGTGCTGCAGGTCAGTGTATTTCCACCTCTGTTTTTGTGGGTGTGTCGGACTAGCCGCTTGGAGAGCGTTATATGACGCGCATTTGGCTTTCATCCCTTTGTCGTCACAGGGATGAAAGGGAAACAGCTGGACTACAAAGTAGCTGTTTACAGGCAGTTAAACGCAGTAGCGAGTTTTCTGTGGGAGATGGGAACTCCCTTTGGACTTGCCTTTGGCCTTTTTCACTTTCCAAACCTTTTACATGCACAAAAAGGTATATAACTCAATAAAGGAGAGGGGAAAAGTATAATACCACCTCTTTAATAAAGGTAGGTTTAAGGCTTATTTTAGGATGAGTTGGGGACAGTTTGTTACAGTATCCAGCAACTGTAAACGTCTGTCAGCACAACTGAGGACAGCCTTGTTTAGTGAGTGGAGTGTTTGTGTAGCTTCAATAAATGTTTAAGCTATTCGATTTTATTTATATAGCGTCAAACAAAAGTAGGAAGCATTTGGTTTACTCTTGTATGTGTCCCCCTCCACCTCCGTCCCTACTCGTGAGGGATGCCCCTTCCTGCAGACTGGTTATAAAGGGGTGGAGCACTGGTGCCCGCTTTCCTCCGGTGCACAAGCATTGCGTGTATGTGCACGTTTTATCCAGCAAACAACATGCTTAAGCATCACCAAAACGAATATCAGTGTCACACTGGGTTAAATTTCTTTTTGTATCTTTTCTGTCAGAATTTGCCATCCTTATTTTCATGCAGTCTGCACGTATTAATATTAATGTGGGGTGTTTCACTCACCATTTATAGGTAACTATGGGCATTTAAAGGTCCAGTGTGTAATATTTCTGAGGATTTAGTGACAGAAATCAATATAAGATCCATTACTATGTTTTCAGTGGTGTATGAGACCTTATAAAATAAACCATTATGTTTTTATTACCTCAGAGTGAGCCACATATATCTACATAACCGCAGGTCCCCCTTTCCATGGACATCACTACGTTGCATTGTCATGTATCTACAGTAGCTGAAAACGGACAAACAGCGCTACAGAGTGCATTTCGTCACTGCAATCTTCTTGTTCTACTTCTGGTAGAATTCAGACAGTGTAGACACTCATCCCTATCTTGAATATATATGTTAGAAGAAGAAGTAGTAGTAATAATGTACTGCAGGGGTTGACAAAAACATTTTGCATCAGAGCAATATTTTCAACCATTAGATGGTGGATGAGAATAGAAGCCATAATATCACCTTCCATTGACATACCCCAGTATTTCCAGACAGATGACAGTTCTCGTTTTCTGACGGCTCTTTCAGATGTGTGTCAGCAGGCAGCAGACTCTTTTAATGTCGTTCAGAATTTTCAAATAAAAGCTCAGTTCAACTCCAATACAAATCACAGACAGAATTAATGCGTTTCCCTTGTCAATGTTTGTATAAACTTTTAGTCTTATGTGGTTAATAATGGACTTAGGTGCAGAAACAGTGAACAGTTTCACAGTCTTTGCTTACATTTTCCATGTTATCTGTCAGTGGCCAAGTCACAATAGCATATAGTTTCTCTAAATAATTTAATATAATTTCTTAATAAAAATA